TGCTTGCCGAGCAGACTTTGGAGGTATAGCCTCACTCCCTCCTCATCCCACCACTTTCACAGCTGAGAACTGGCATCCCCACAGAGCATTATCCTGCACTGGTCATTTGGGGTTAATGCCTACGTGCCACTTACAGAAATGATGAGTTTTGCCAGGTCATCCCTGTGGCACAATGTGTCCGAGGAATATCATGGCAAATGGGGAGACCCACATAGTCTCCTACTATTTCTATTACTTTGAGACCATGTGTGCTCCTTCTGGAGCCTTCTGATCTGTGGGCAAACAATCCATCCACTCCCTGATTTTTATTCAGCTCTTATCTGGATGAGTGGCAGACCACACAGTGAGCGTTTCCTGCATTAGTTCACTTGATATACATTAAGCAGGGCAAAGCTCAGTTTTGATGTCAGATAATTTACAGAGGGATTAGCATGAAAATAATCTCTGCATATTAACACTAGGTCAGGCAAATACTTCTAACATCCCTGTAGACAGAAGAGACAGCATCAAGTAACTTACTGTTTTGTCTAATCATTTGCAGCTGTTTTTTGAAGGCCCGCTTTTTACATAATTTACCACTCACAGGCTTTTGCAAATAAAGGAGATCATTTTTAAACACTTGCTAATAAACCAGTCAGTTTAACTATGTACTAGATATGCTGCTCCAGCAATTTCAGCCTCAAGCCTTACAGCTTCAGGCTGTTGCCTAGCCAGAGACACCCCACAGCCTGAGGCTAGGAGGACGTGTTCTTCAGCAGGAGAACACATAGAAGGCCTTCATTTCCATGCTTCTGCTCACCTAATGACTTCAGCATCTGCTGCCCTTTCTCGCCCTGACACTGTAAGGAACTTTGAGCCCTGATATTTCCTTCCTAAGCCTCCCTGTCTATTTTCAGGACAGCAGCAGGGGTGAGGCAAGAGGGACGCCTGCCCCAGGCATGTCTTGGAGTGGGTGCAAAATGAGCCTGCCTGACATGGTGACAGAGGGGAGGCAGCACAGACAGGAAGGAGATGAAGAGGGGCTTTTGAAAATCCATTAACCATAATCATGAGTCTACATGTTCTTGACATACAGAACTGTGAATCATTTTATAGAGGATTCCTTCTAGATTATACCAAACGAGATTTTTAAACTGTTTTAGGATTGGAGAGTAGAAGCTTTCAACTAATAACACCTGTATTTTGAATAAATTTTGGTCCCATTTGGAACAAGGGAAAAGTATAGCTGAATGAGAGATTCATTTATAAAATTACAAATAATAGAGCTGTAGATGACTGCAAGAAAAATATTAATATTTAAAGGCATTCTTAGTAACCGCATAGGTTATTGGAAGTCTGCCTACTGTTTCCAAATACCCCTTTGTTTAAATCAGATGTTCCCAGCTCTGTAGCTGGTACTAAACACCTTTGGGAGTTTTGGTATCACATGCTGTAGTAAAGACTTCCACTTTCTCTCTTGAATTTTCCAAATCCTGTCCACTGCTTTATGACCAACATAGCTCACACTTGGTTCTAGGCTACTATTTCTGTTTTACTTCAGGGGTCCAATTCTGAGCTTGGTTCAGCAAAGCACCAAAATATGCAATAACTTAAAAAGACATGTCACCCTTTTTATGAGGTTAGTTATGACTAGATTTAGCTATGTTTTCTTGTATAATTATAGCAAATTTCAGCTACAATCAATAACATTTTCTCCCATCACTAACAATATAACAAGTTTAGATTATAGTATATGCACATTATTTATATGTGCAGTATGTGTGGACACACAGCAAATGCATTGTTAGAGTGTTCACACACATGCCTGTAAGTTAATGCATACAAATATGCACGTTCAGGATAATCTAAAGATAGTGGACAGCTTCATTACCTATTGCACTGTAAAGCACTTCTTTTGATTAAAATTTAAATTGAAGGCTATTGGCCACCCAAAACCACACATCCTTAAGCTGCATCCCATTAAATAATTCTGATTGCTACTACTTAATAAATACACCCTTCCTCAAGATACTTCATTTTGTACTTGTATTTATTATATAATGCTTATTTTAATGTACCTTTTGGATAATCAATCAAAGTACTCAAGCGACAATTCTTTCCCCGTATTTTCAAGTAATCAGAATATTTACACTTACTCTTTTTCTTCTGCATGCACAATTATTTTTCTTTACTCCAGATGAGACTGAGCAGGGATTATATTTTCTTTATTTTTACCCATTTCTTTCTGGAAACTAACTTTATTTTGACTCTGATATGTTAAAGCACCAAAGCATTAGATAAACTTCAATGAAAACTGCAGTCCCAGGGGATTTAAGCATATGCTTTAATGCTTTACTGAAATTGGGCATTTCAGCAGGGAGATATCTAGAAGTTCTGGTAGTTTTCTCAAGTATTGTCAGTGAACAGATAAAACCCACATTACTTACTCAGTACCAGCTCAACAGTATACACATAACAGTAATCCAGTCCTAACCTGAACTATGTCATTAAAAACCAGTGGCCAATTTAACTGTGCTGTTATTCTCAGATTTGTAACTTAGATTTATAGTTATGTAATAGCTAAATTATCAGCATATTTCCTTTCACAGCTGCAACATGAAAACTAAAATATCTGACTTTTTTTTTAAAGTTCTAGTTATGAGAGAATCCTATCAAGCTGCAAAATCACTAGGTTTATAAAGCCAGTCACCCAAAGATAGACTTAGCATAACAGGTCTTGATATGAGACAAAATACAAGAATATCAGTATGATAGTTCTCTTTAATAGCAAATTCTTTTGAAAAATAAAACCAAAACAGGAAAACAAGTCTTAAAAAAGCCCTCAGAAATGTTGCATATAAGCTTAATAAAATAACATTATATAAGCTTAACAAAATAATGTATTTCTCATGTAAAACCGAGTTAAGGTATCACACACACCAAATGAAAACAGAAAAACTATTAGCAAGACCACCTGTAAGGATCGTAGAATGGTTTTGGCTGGAAAGGACCTTAAGATCATCAAGTTCCAACCCCCATGCCATGGGCAGGGACACCTCACGCTAAACAATGTCACCCAAGACCTCGTCCAACCTGACCAGGGATGGAGCATTCACAGCCTCCCTGGGCAACCCATTCCAGTGCCTCACCACCCTAACAGGAAAGAATTTCCTCCTTATATCCAATCTAAACTTCCCCTGTTTAAGTTTGAACCCGTTACCCCTTGTCCTATCACTACAGTCCCTATATGAAGAGTCCCTCCCCAGCATCCCTATAGGCCCCCTTCAGATACTGGAAGGCTGCTATGAGGTCTCCACACAGCCTTCTCTTCTCCAGGCTGAACAGCCCCAACTTTCTCAGCCTGTCTTCATATGGGAGGTGCTCCAGTGCCCTGATCACCCTCGTGGCCCTTCTCTGGACTTGTTCCAACAGTTCCATGTCCTTTTTATGTTGAGGACACCAGAACTGCACACAATACTCCAAGTGGGGTCTCACGAGAGCAGAGGAGAGGGGCAGGATCACCTCCTTCGACCTGCTGGTCACGTTCCTTTTGATGCAGCCCAGGATACGGTTGGCTTTCTGGGCTGTGAGTGCGCACTGAAGCCGGCTCATGTTCATTTTCTCATTGACCAACACCCCCAAGACCTTCTCTGCAGGGCTGCTCTGAATCTCTTCTCTGCCCAACCTGTAGCTGTGCCTGGGATTGCTCCGACCCAGGTGTAGGACCTTGCACTTGGCACGGTTAAACTTCATGAGGTTGGCATCAGCCCACCTCACAGGCGTGTCGAGGTCCCTCTGGATGGCATTCCTTCCCTCCAGGGTATCAACCGAACCACACAGCTTGGTGTCATCGGCAAACTTGCTGAGGGCGCACTCAATCCCACTGTCCATGTCAGCGACGAAGATGTTGAACAAGACCGGTCCCAACACCGATCCCTGAGGGACACCACTCGTTACTGGTCTCCAGCCGGACATTGAGCCATTGACCACAACTCTTTGCATGCGGCCATCCAGCCAGTTCTGGACCAAGTGGTTCACCTATCAAATAGATATCTCTCCAATTTAGAGACAAGGATGTCATGCAGGACAGTGTCAAACCTTTCACACAAATCCAGGTAGATGACTCAACTGCTCTACCCCTGTCCATCAGTTCTGTAGCCCCATCATAGAGGGCCACCAAATTGGTCAGGCAGGATTTCCCCTTAGTGAAGCCATGCTGGCTGTCACCAAGCACCTTGTTGATTTTCATGTGCCTTAGCATGCCTTCCAGGAGAATCTGCTCCAAGATGTTGCCAGGCACAGAGGTGAGACTGACTGGTCTGTAATTCCCCAGGTCATCCATTTTCCCCTTCTTGAAAATGGGGGTTACATTTCCCTTTTCCCAGTCATCAGGAACTTCACCTGACTGCCACATTTTTCAAATATTTGCCAGCTCCTTCAGGACCCACGGATGGATTTCATCAGGCCCCATGGACTTGTGCACATTCAGGTTCTTAAGATGATCTCAAACCTGATCCTCTCCTACAGTGGCTGCAAGGTCTTTATTCTCACAGTCCCTGCGTCTGCCTTCCAAGACTTCTTGCTTAATTTCTATTTTAACATAAGCATTGTTTTTTATGGATAAACTGTTTTTTCTATACAAAAGAACCTGATACAAGATTCATGTTGTCAGTGTTGTAAAGGTGAACAATAAAATGGTTATATCTCTATTTCCAAGAAGTCTGATTAGCTGTTCCAAAGAAATATATACTTTCTTTCTTACAAAAAAACAGAGGGGAGAACATTTAAAAAAGCTGAATAACACTCATAGGGATTTCATGTTCCCATGAAAGAAAACGATCCCATTATACTTCCCTAGAATTTAGTTTCAGCTTTTAAATTACTCTTATTGATATCTTTAAGACTTTTAAGCACAGAAGACACTGAACACTTGGGGAAAAGGGAAGAAATGACAGAAACTGTTGGCAGACAGAATAAATAGAAACCAAAAGGAGAAGAGAATCATCATGCAAATCCATCAGTTCAAAATATTGTTTCTAGGTACAACATTTTGAGGCAAATGTTCTCCAAATTAATTTTCTCCATCAGATATTTTTGGGTGTTGAATTAACTTAAAATTTCTGAGGATGAAGAACATCTCAGAGGTTGCTGATGTCCTAATCTGCAATAAAATGACAACAAGAAGAGTCCTGTATTTGGTACACCATTAACTGCTAGTGAAAAGCCCATTCAGAGTAATGTCAGTACAAGATTACTGTTGTTTGTCTTGATTCAGCAACACATTTAAGACCATGCTTACTCATGAATAGCTAATAAGCATACGAGCTATTCAGCTTAAAGTGAGCAGAGATGCAGCATTAGTCAGTCTCCTAGGTCAGCTTTGCACAGAAGTGTCAGCAGGTAAATTCTCCTAAGCTCCCTGAGGAGACAGCTGCCTTCTCTAACTGGTTAAGTATTGTTTGAGAGCTTTTAATGCTACTGCATATTATTATTCCAGTACGGGATTAACTATAAAGGTACCTAGGGATTTCTTTCATTTTTCCTTACTAGAACATACAATTATTTTATTCATAATGTTTCTGGTTTTTTTTTCTGAGGTGTTGGTTGGGTTGATTGTTTTTTACTTCTGCATAACTTTAAATGTCTTCTTAAACCCCAGTGAAATTAAGATATTTGAGCATAGGCTTAATTGCTGTATCAAATGAAGCATGCACACATGCTTAAGATTTTGGCTAAGCTAGGAGCCTATTTTGAACTGATCACAAACTCAATATTCCCTCAGATCTTTCTCAGACAGTTCAACAAAAGAGACACGAATCATAGGCAGTTCTGAGATGCCATAGGACAGACTTTTCTAACCCTGTTCCTATTGGTTTTGACATTATATTTTTTATACTTATATTGCCAATACTTAGAAACATCCTGAAGGACCTCTATGTGTTTCTATTCCATTGGAAAAATATATTCAATAGTTATTGGAAATATATTCAACTTTTTCTGCTGAAAAAGAGAAGATGTATGGATGAATTTCAGTTATGAAGAGTGGTTCTTCACATTCCTCAAAGTGCTTCAAGTTCAATTTGTTCATAAATGTAGTTTTTGTCTTAATGGCATGAAATCAACAAAAATGACATTTAGCTTCTGATAGTAATAATTTATCAGCATTAATGATATGGAAACTCATTATTTCTTTTGTATAATTAATGAAATTATGCTCAGGGCTGCATTTCTATAAAATACAAATTATCCCCATTGCTAATAGAGAAACAATAAGAGTAACAGAATTGGTGTCATTAAGAGAACTAATACTGTGGGTCAATGCCTTATTTACTAATGCAAATTAAGCCACAGCTGATAAGGAGCCAGTTTACTCCAAAAGATGATGACACACTTTCAACCATTAAGGCTACATAAAGGATTCATAAATGCAGCAATTGTTGCGATTTTTACAGAAAACTGGAGGGCTCATACTAATGTATTTCATATTTAAATGGCTCCATTGATAGGAATGGTTTCATGGTAATTTCAGTCTGAATTCAGGCCTATTCTCCTACTTTTTTTTTTTTTTCCCATTAATAAATTAAGTTTCACACAGTACTGGATTACAAATCTACTGAAACTCAACTTTAAACTAATCTGCTAAATACTTTTCTTCTACTTTTTTTTTCCCCACTATGGTAACAAGTCACTGTTTAGTAAACTGGTGCAGGACAATCAACATTCATGTTGTAAATGAGAACAAGCAGCAGTATTGTGGGCTGTCTACATACATTCATAGTGCTAAATATGAGCTATTTATTTTAGAATCTAAAAACTAACAATTCTAATTAATATATTAAAAATCCACTATTTAGTAACATTAGGACTGACACCTCATTATAGTACACCAGCTTTTAGGGGCATAAATCCACTAACTGAGGAACATATTCTAATTATATCTTAATGTTATGCCTGGAAAACATATATTTGTGGAATTCTAAAGGAGAAACTATGCATGTCCTCATTAAAAGTAAAAAATGTTTCTCTTTTCCGAACGAATGTGCAAAAAAGCTTTGATATTGAATTAGGGTGATGGACTTTTCCTTCTTCTGGAACAGTGTCATTTTTGCAGCTATTCTATTACTGCTAGCCATCTTATACCATAGAATAGTTAATTTATTTCTAACACTACTATACAGTACGCTTGTATTTCCCCCCTCCATTTGGAAAATCTCACCCTGTAAAAATAGTTCTATGTTCTTCCAGTAGCTATTAATGTTTGTTTTCTAAATCAGTCCATATGGCATTACTATTTCAAGACTCAGTATGTGGGAACTATCTTTCCATTACAAGTTATCAATTCCAAAAAATAACATGCTTTATATTTAAAGTATTATAATCTTTCAATTTTGCTCATTACATTTTTTCTATCTATGCAACTGTAGTCATTGCTCTGGTCTGTTTTTTTCACTTTCCTGTGGGCTGGTGATTGTCACCCTTGGAGCTGTGGATGTTTTTTCAAGATGGGAATCAACCTAGAGAAAAAGAAAAGGTACTGTTAACTTCACGAGGTAACAAAGATTTCACTTCATTTCAATCTAGTGCTATCACCTCATACTAAAGTTTCCACAAGGTATCAATGTGAAAAAAATGTTTTCTGATAATGATCACATTAACATTTTTATTTACCTTACACATGTATACCTTCCAAAGGATAATTTACTCAGATTAGAGGTTCCCCCCAAGTTCTTTCATTAAACATCAGTTACCCACATACCCACTTAAAGTAAATGCTCACTTTCTCCACTCCCATAAATAACTTCAGCTTTTCTAAAAACAAACAAAAGATCAATATATTGAGCACTAAATAAATTCAGAGCCCAAGAAAGCATCACACTATGTAGCTCTCTTAATTGAAAGATGTTCTTGTGTGTCATACAGAAACAGAAGAAAGCCTAGTTGCAAGGTACAAGAAGCCATTCCCAGTGTCACAAAGAGAGGAAGAGTCTGGTTTCAGCAGCCTATAGGCATGAAATATGCAGCAAGTTGTTCTGCTTCTGATGCTCAAGGATCCCACTTTTCCAGATCTGGATTCTCCCCATCAAACAAAATACTTCATTCCTACATTCTGTTTGCTGGTCAGTTCACATGACAGCCAGGGCAGTCCACTTTATTTTTCTGGGCTGTATGCCTCCATCTAAGCCAACAGCATGTTACCATAGCTCCTAAATTAAAAGGATATTTGCTTTTGAACCAACAAAAGCCCCCTGCTTTGAGGACTGTGTTCATCTCCACTGTCTTTTCATATTTCTAAGAAAAGGAGATGAAAATTCCACAAAGCAATGGCAAGAGCCTTTATGAAATGAAACTTCTGTGAATGTCAATTCATCAAAACAATGAGGCATGGTGGTTTCATGAACACTGTTCTGTTCTGTTCTAAAGGACAATGTAAGGTGGAAATGTATAAATGACCATGCATTTTCTGGAAATTGCAAGAATTTTTTCTTTATTTTTTTTCTTTTTTTTTTAATTCAGCATTCTCAGGAAAGCAAGAGATGCAGATTCATCAAAGAGCAAGAACATCTGCTTTCTCAGTTGGAGAGCATATAATGTAATTACTGATGTAACTGATCTATACAGATGGAAAACAGCTTTTCCTCAAACTGAAGTTCTTGTAAATGCATCAACTTATCAGGAGTGAGCTATTTAGAGACTAGCTGAGAAGCCTAAGGCTGAGATGAATGAACATCAATAACTTAGGAAAAACAAACTGAAAGTATAAACACTCACCTGGTTCTGACTACCAGAATCCTCTTCTGTATCTTCTGCTTCTTCTGCTTCATCTTTGTAATTCTCATTTAATTTCTTGTTTTCTTCCACTTCACTTCTTTCTTTAGCAGTTTTCTCACTTTCACCTCCATTCACTTCTGGATACTCTTCTTCTCCTTTATATACCTCCTCTCCACAGTCATTTTCCTCTTCTGCATTTTCTTCTTCATCTACAGTTTCTGCTGGCCTCTGGTGAAAGGAAAAGCAGCAGCATTATGAGGTGTTTTTAATCAGAATGCTCCACAAAATTCTGAAACGTGACAGACGTCAAAATCACAATTACATCATTACTTGGGGAGTACGAATGTTAATTTGAGGTTTGTCTATGTGGACAGAAAATGATGCTCCTGTACTAACATCCCATAATGCACTGATATTCTACATTTTAAAAAAAGTATTAGTGAGATTTAAATGAATTACACTGGGTTAATCCATTTGACCATACCCAAAACAACTGGAATGAACTAGATTTAACTAATACAGCAAGAGCTATTTTGTTCCTGCTATTCCAGATTCTCCAACATTCTAGCATTTAGCATGTACTTGTTTATAAAATCCTGCAACAATAAAATGTTCAATGATGTCACTGTTCCCCAAGAACCATTTTACCCACAGACCAGGCCATGCCATGCCAATTGGCCCTGTTGTGCAGCCTCCTTCTTCACACCCACAGAAAAGTAGCAAGAGAGATGAGGCAGACCTACTAGTCACTTCTACAGCATCACTGTCCTTCCCAAGGACCCCTATGTGGGTGGCATTGTTAGGATTTGTTTGATATTTAGCAATTGACCAACCAAGAGGAGGAACAGGATCTTGTCCCGCATTGAAGAAGCGTAAGCAAAAAGTCACTATAGATGGAGCTGCTAGCAGCATCATTTCACGATCACCTGGAAGACTCATGCACATAGTATCTCCTTTCTGTCCTTTTACTTCCAGTTTCAGCCTTGAAGATTTGCCTGACTATTCAGTGAACCAATGCCCCCACTTCCAAGATGACTTAGGTACTTGTGCTAAGGTTTAAATGAAAATAAAGAGAAAAAAAAATCACACAGGAGTGACAGGGTGTTTGCCTCCCACACAGACTCATCAGACTAAATCTAAAGCAAACAAGCTGAGAACAATAGATTCTCTTTTAATCATAAGCGTTTGGAATTTTATTATCATTAGCAGCTCCTTTATGCAGGCAGTTATCTGCTACAGACCTGTAAATTACGTCTTCTAAAAATCTCTTTCCCTCACTAACATTTCAAAAGAATTGCCTCATCACCTTCAACATACTAGTAAAAGCCATTTCAACCATACCAACAATTGACTGAAGCCTCCTGATGGAATGCCTTGCTTTTACTTTTATATCTAAGTAGCAACATAAGACAACTTTATTATGCCAGTGCACAACACCACATTGACACAGCTTCAGAAAGGACAAGTTATTGTGTTGTAATAATGCACAGAATGACAAATTACTAGAAATATTACATGGTTACCTGACCAGATAAATAACAGCTCCATAAGTAATTTTTGAAGTACAGTAGTCTCTGTGTATTTTACTCAAGCCTTCCTGACTCACTTTCATCTGGTAACATCAAGCTGGGCATATTACCACCAAAATAAAAATTAAACAAGACAAATCTTAAGAAACACCTTCAAAGAAGGCACCATCTAAAGCAAACTTGAGCCAACTTTGGTAACCTCCAGCACATGAAGATAGCAAAGAATCTGTAGATCCATAAGTTCTCAGAAGTTACCTGCTGGTCTTACTTATGTGACCTACTAGTTTTCTTTTCAGTTTGCTAAGGCAATTAGCAGCTCTGGATTCTGACCAGAAACAGGGGAAGGTGGGACAAATTACATGCACCAGACACCACTAGCTATAATAAGTGGTTTCGGTTCTGCTTAATGGCACTGCTTGCTATGATGTTACAAACATTAAATGAAGAGAGGGTAAGAAAAGAAGAAAACTAAACAGAGGCTTTCTCAGTTAACTGCTGTAGTCATCCAAGATATTATTATTTCCAGGTTTTTGTCACTGCCTGGTAGTGGGTACAATCAGAAGAGAGTATCTGCCCTTGCCTGAACTGCTTTAGTATGGTGACTCATTTTGGACTGCAGAAGAAGGTATGTAGACATTACACTATGGTGTAAATACATGTATCCTAATAGATATGCTCTTACTGGTTATATTGGTGTGGAAGCAGTCTTTAGCATAGAAGAACAACGGACATTTGAGGGGCAGTAACCTCCTAAGCTGCTACACTAGCTAGACTCATTAGACCTCATCTGCCTAAAATGGGTGTGGATGCAAATTTTTTAAGACTTAAAACTAATATGGAAGATCAACATGGTATTACTGAACTCTACCCAGAAACTTCCTGGAAGCTCACAAGGAACTGGCATGAAATAACATTCAAATTTCAACGAATTTAATTGACCAGGCAAGCTAAATTGCCTGAAAAATAATAGCACAAAACAAGACCAGTAAACCAAATCCCATCAGTGCATGTACAAGTGTAATGCTTCTTTAGTAGGTGAAAATTTCAAGACAGCTGAGCACGTTACTAGAACGGTTACTACTACTACAGAAAAAAATAAAAAGGCATATATGCAGCTAATAACTGGAAAGCAAAATGAGTTCTTCATTTAATCTCCATTCAAGCTGCACTACATTAGAATGGACATTTCAAACAAGTTAAAAATCAGCACTGACCCAGAAAAGAAGACCTGCAAGGTAATCTAAAATGCAGTATGGTTCTCACTGCATCCAGAGTCATAGGTAGGCTTTGAAATGTGAAAAGGACCACAGACAATGCATTCCAGAATGCACAGCAGACATAAGACAGGATTGTAGGGAGGGAAATGGAGGCCAAGATTACACAGAATCATAAAATCACAGAATGATTTGGGTTGGAAAGGACCTTAAAGATCATACAGTTCCAACCCCCTGCTATGGGCAGGGACACCATCCACCACACAGGTTCCTTCAAGCCCCGTCCAGCCTGGCCTTGAACACTGCCAGGGATGGGGCAGCCACAGCTTCTCTGGGCAAATTGTGCCAGGGCCTCACCAACCTCACAGGGAAGAACTTCTTCTGAATATCTAATCTAAATCTCTCCTCCTTCAGCTTAAAGCCATTTCTCCTCATCCTGTCACTACATGCCCTTGTAAAAGGACACCACCACATCATACACTGCTTTTAATATAAAAGGTGTGACACTTTACTTTTCTATTGATCTACTAGCTATGCATAAATTAGCATTCACTATTTTAAGTACACCTTCTTCACTGACAAACTGAAGCAAAAGTTGGATTTTTGATATTTAGGGGAAAAGAATCTTTATATATACAGGCAGGAAGGAAAACAGAAAAAGGCAGAAAAACAGAGCATATGGTCTAAAGCCTCTAAATGTTGCATATACTTTATTTTCTAGAACAGTTCCAGTGATTTCAGTGAACCTGAAATCGTGAGCTAAAGCCTACAACAAAGTTCTTGCTGGGTCAGGGTACAATTCAAAGTCCCCTGGAGTCAATGGGAACCTTTTCATTGAATTTGATACACTTCAGCCACCCCTCTACCTAGAACTGTAAAAAATGCCCATTACATATACAAGAAAATTACTGCAGACTGTTTTCTCTCAGTCACTAAATCAGGGTGGGCATACTGAAAACAAAACAGGTGTGCTGATTCAGAGCTATGTGTCCATACAGAAATCATCAGACTCATTTCTAGACGTCAGCAATATACGCAAGGAAAAGCAGTGACATATCATATCTTAGTTTTTAGCTTTTCATCACTCATCTTTTAAATAAACAGAATATTCTGAGTAAGAGCTTCCTATGTGGAATGTACTGGCTGCATAGCCAAGACAGATGCGGGACTCTGCCACTCCTCTTTGCACTCAAGAAATCAGAGTTCAGCTTTCAGCCAGTATGTTGGCTCAGAGGAAGTCACACATTACATTTGGATTCCTGTAAAAGCTCCTGGCATCTCAAATCCACAGAACCCACTATATCTCCAAACCTAAGTGACTGATATCTATGACCACTTTGCAACACAATGAAATAAACATGAGCATCAACTATTAGTATCAACATGTTGTCATGAAAGATTCCGGGAGCATAACAGAGAACAAGAGGCACGTTAAAAATTCATATTGGAAGCACCCAGCCAGTTGTAGCTCAGGGTAACTAAACATGTGTACAGTAGTGAACTGCAGAATATGCATTCATGTGTTACTTTAGGCCTGTGTCCATGTAACAAAAAGCCAACAGCACAACTTCAACATGACAGCAATAAATACCAAACTGCAAAAGCATGAGGTGATTACATTCTTATTCTTTGAAGTAATTTTCACAGAGAAGTAAATGCCTTCAAGGACAAGGGACTTTTCAAGTGACTGTGATGAATTATCCTCAGTCTTTCTATAGTCAGAACATGACAGCTACTCCTAGTAGGGTTTGTAATTTTGTGTTTTGCATGGTTGCAAGAAAATAGGAAGTAACCTTTCTTGTATTGTTGGCTGCATCTTTTAAGTGAAGATGATGCTTTTGCAATTTCCCAGATGAAAGTACACTAGTTAAAATAACTAGTTTTCAAATCATACCTTCACAAATGTCAGCAAAATTCTTTGCTTGTCACGGACAAGCAATAAAAAGACTTGCTGACACAATATATGTATATTGAAAGGCATAATCAACCAAAGGCACCTACAACAACTGAAGTAATTCTCAACTACATGCTGGAAACATGGACCCAGCCTGCCTTCTGGAAACCTCCTGACTTACTATCAGGTTGATAAGGAGCAGAGTGAATTTAATTTTGCATTCAAGAAGTATGATTGCTTGATGGTACTTTTAATCTCAGCAAAACCAGAGTGTTTAAAAAAGAAAGATGTATTCTAATTACACTCATCATGCTATCATTCATTAAGAACTACATTACCAAATGCCATCATCATTCAAAAGCAGTTAAAAGTCAGGAAATCTTAAGACACTGAAGCATTTGCTGACACTGAAGCATTTGGCTTCTTTTCCTCTAGGGATGCTAATGTAACCTCTCAGGTCTGTACATGACTGATACTAGAATATGAAAAGTGCAGTATCACAAATCATTTAAAGTGGAAATTATTTTGTACCATTAAAGTAAAACATAATTTTGCTTTATTGAAGCCATTTGGAAATGTCTACTTGGCTAA